CTGAGGTCAGAGGCCCGTTGCCCTGTCCGCATGCATCTTCCTCATCCCTCCCACATGGCAAAGTTCTTCCTTGGCTGTCTTTCTTCTCCCCCACCCTCCCGTCACCTCTGCGTGGCCTCCTGTGCCTGTGGGGAGGGTAGGCTGACTGTAGGAGTGGCTGCGAGTCCATGGAAGCTGTGGTCGTGGCGGGAGGTGGGCACTCTCAGAGAGGCTCTGCCCAATGCCCCTGTCGTGTGAGATCACAGCCTGGGCTGTCCCTGCTGTGGTTCCCAGAGCAGTCCTCCTGGGCCCTCCCCTTTATCCCCTCTTATGGGGCCATGTGAGAGCCCACCAGGCAGAAGCAGACCCGGGGAGTGTGAGGGGCTGGGACCCTCCCAGCAATGGTCCTGGAGTTCCTTCATCTTTTATTTCTGGCACATGGTTTAGGGCGGGCAGGGAGGCCGGGGGTGGGTGGGAATGGGGGGCCTGCAGCACGTGTTGTTCCCCTCAGGACTGGGCCCCGGAAGCAACCCCCACACCAGGTGGAGGTAGAGGCTGCTGAGCAGAATGTCACCCACATCTGCCACAAGGTCTACTTCCCCAATGACACCAGTGAGGTGAGTCCCCGCCCTGTCCCCACAGGAGGTGGATAAGCCCTCCTGCCCATACAGAGAAAGCCATGTAGGGGTTCCCAGGGGGCCACCTCACCTTTGCCACTCTCCTTCCCTCCTCCCCTAGGGTGCTGGCCCCACTTGCCCTCAGGTGCTTCAGAAGTAGGGACAGTCCCAAGGTGGGAGTTGAGGATTCCAGGCGGGAGGCCAGAAGGGTAGACAGTGAAGCTGAGCCCCAGGGACTGGGGGCCGCTAGGGACTTCTGACCAGGCCAGGGCATAGTGAGCAGGTGCCACAGTCAAGTGTGTCCTGTGCACAGAACCTGCATAGCTATGCAGAAAGCAGAGGGGCCAAGTTGGGGGGACACCACAGGGACCCCACTGTGATACAAAAGCCTCAGCAAGAGGTGGCAAAGGCCTGCAGGCCGAGGGGGCCAAGGTGGACAATGCCACCTCATATGATCCCCAATGGCAGGTTGGCCTTTCTAGCCTTGAGGACGGCCAAGTCCCTGTGACACGAAGTTCCCACAGTCCAGGACTGGGCTCTCAAGGCAAGTTCAGAAGGCCAGGCCTCTCAGGCCCTTGGACAGCCAGTGCTGGTGAGGGCTCTGGAGGGGAGGCTTGCCCCTCTCAGGACAGCACGTTCAACTCATTTCATTAAGGAACAAAAGCACCAGGCTATAAAGGACCCTCTAGGGTTGTGCCTCATCTCCAGATTGCCACTCTGGGAGCACTGTGGTCCCAGGCTGGGCTCTGGGCCTCACTATCTGCCTTTCTGCCCAGATGCTGGAGGTGTGCAGCAACACACGGGTGAGGGACGTGTGTGACAGCATCACCACCAGGCTGCAGTTGGCCTCCTGGGAGGGCTGCAGCCTCTTCATCAAGATTGCAGACAAGGTGTGCCTGGGCTGTAGGGGGACAGCCAGTGGGGCTCTCCAGTGAGGGAAACAGCCTGCCCAGTGCACCCGTGCTGGCCCAGGACTCTTGCTGCCTGGCTGGCGCTGTCAGGCAAAAGAGGGTAGTTTCAGGGCTAGAGCCTGGGTCCCAGCTCCAATGGGCCACACTCAGCCTAACTCCAACCAGACCCCAAGCAAGGGCTGCCCCAGCTTGCCAGGCCAGGCAGTTGCTGGACCTCCCCACAGCACCCTCTCAGGGGGACAGTCCCCTAGTAGCTGCTCCCACTGCTGCCTCCCTGTGCTTTCCGCAAACCCAGGTCATCAGCCAGAAGGAGGGAGACTTCTTCTTTGACTCCTTGAGGCAGGTGTCTGACTGGATGAAGAAAAATAAGCCCCAGAAAGAAGGTAAAGGGGTCCCTGTGGTGCTAGGACAGGTCGAGGTGGAGTTGTCGGCCTTCCTGGACAGGGTCACCTCCTGCATGGCTTGTGCCCATTCACTCATTCATTCCCTGGTATCTTGTGTCCCTTGGGCTGTGGGGACATCCCGCCCTGGGACTAGGCATTGAGAACTTCCTAGCGTGAGCAGAGTATAGGGACAGGGTTGGGGTACACCACAACTTCAGGGCAGGGTGATAAAGCCACACAAGGCTGAGAGGGCCTGGCCCCCACTTGGGTCTAAGAAAGAAAGGGGGCTTTCCATGGGGGAGGTGGTGGGAGCAGGGAGGGAGCCAGGCAGGCCCAGCAATGCCTGCCAGGACAGGCTTAGTGCTCATTGCCGCCCCTGCCCAGGGGCCCCCGTGACACTCCCCTACCAGGTATACTTCATGCGGAAACTATGGCTCAATGTGGTCCCGGGGAAGGACGTGAAGGCGGACACCATACTCCATTATCACCAGGTAGTGAGCAGACTACCCTCCTGGTGGGTGCTGGGGACACCCCCTTCCCTCCCACACCTGCCCTCTAGGAGCCAGCAGGCAAGGGTGGGAACTACCACTCCCTGGGCACCATGCCCATGGCCAGCTCCAAACTCTAGTCCAGGCTGTGCTCTTGAGGATCCTGGATCCGGGAGCAGAGGACAGCAGCATTTGGGGACAGTGACTGCACTGGCACCTACAGCACAACTGTGGGGAAGCGGGGACAGAGAAGCCTCCAGCTCCCCCCCCCGCCCCCAGCAATGGCTATGCCCAGAGCAGTCCACCACCTCCACACAGGCCCTGCCCTGCCTCGGGGTCATCCCCCTGCCCGGAACACCTCCCTGAAAGGCTCAGCTTGCAGCAGGCTCACTCTGTCCTGGATGGGGTGAGCTGAGCGGGCAGGATGAACTGGGGCAGGCGAGCTGCAGCCTGAAGCCAGCGTGTCCACCACCCAGGAGCTGCCCAAGTACCTGCGTGGGTTCCACAAGTGCTCACGGGAGGATGCCATCCATCTGGCAGGCCTCATCTACAAGGCCCAGTTTGACAATGACCGGTCCCAGCTGGCCAGTATCCCCAAGATCCTAAGGGAACTAGTGCCTGAGAACCTCACACGCCTGATGTCCTCAGAGGAATGGAAAAAGGTCCCTGATGTGCTGGAGAAGGGTCCTGGGCCTGCTGCCCCTCCCCACCCAGTGCCATGCCCTGCCTGCCGCAGCTTCTCCATGCCAACCCCTGCATCCCACTCCTCCCCTGTGCCCCCAGCAAGCTCTCAGGCCGACAGGAGCTGCTCTTCCAGGCCCTCACCAGCCCTCCCCTCCCACAGAGCATCCTTCTGTCCTATGACAAGCACAAGGACAAGACAGTGGAGGAGGCCAAGGTGGCCTTCCTGAGGTGGATCTGCCGATGGCCTACCTTTGGGTCCGCCTTCTTTGAGGTGAAGGTAGGCCTCGCCCAGGTCCCAGCCTCCCCCTAGTACACTCCTGGGGGTGCACTAGCCACCAGGTCAGAGTGCATGTGTGCGTGTACCTGTGCATGTGTTCCTGTATGTGTGTGTATGTGCCTGTGTGTGCGTGTGGATGTGCCTGTGTGTGGGGGTGGGCTCTGAGGAGGTGCTTCCCGGCCTCTGCTGGACTGTGACAACCGGGCCCTCCCTCCCAGCAAACCTCGGAGCCCTCCCACCCGGACATCATCCTCATCGCCATCAACCGACACGGGGTTCTGCTCATCCACCCCAAGACAAAGGTAGCTGCACCCAGGGCTTCTGGCAGGGCTGGGGTCAGTCTGCCAGGTCTAGGGACCCACGTTCAGGTGGGACTACAGCCCCCTGTGCCAGCACGTCCTGCCTCCCTCCTGTCCCCAACACAGACTCAATGCACAGCCAGCAAGCTGGAGAGGCTCTGGCCCAGCCCCGCTTGTTGGCCTCCTTGCCCACCTGCCCTTCTGCCCCCAGGACCTGCTGGCTACCCACCCCTTCACCAAGATCTCTAGCTGGAGCAGCGGCAGCACCTACTTCCACATGGTCCTGGGGAGCCTGGGCCGCAGCAGCCGCCTGCTGTGTGAGACCTCACTGGTGAGCCTGGTCCCTTCTCAGCCCAGATTTGAACAAAGCAGCGCTGGGGCAGACCAAGAGGGAGGCCAAGGTCTGGGGCGGCAAGGGACCCATTCCGAGGTGGGAGAGAGGTACAGCAGTGTAGGCAGAGCCCTTTCCCCAAGTCCAAGTCCAGGAGCCCCACTACCCTTCCTGTACCCATACCTCTGACCCCACCCCATCCCTTTTCCAGGGCTACAAGATGGATGACCTGCTGACTTCGTACGTGCAGCAGCTCCTGAGCACCATGAACAAACAGCAGGGCTCAAAGTCCCTGCCCCTGGCCAGCTCCTAGTTTGACCACCCAGTTGCCCTTCCTGATCAGGGTACCCCCACAGAGCAGACCTGGCATGCTACCCTCTCCCCAACACACAGCCCACCAGCACCCCAGATGACCCTCTCTCCTGGGCACTGACCACAGAGGCTAAAGGAGGACCCACCAGCAGAATGCTCAATAAAAGTCTATGGAGCAAAGTGTCTGTGACGGACAAGGGTCGCTGCAGATGAGTGGGAGGCTAGGGGTGGGGGACAGTGGCCCACAGAGGGGCTCCAGAAAGCAAAGACATTATGACTTCTCCAGGGAACCTGGTGACAGCTGCATTCTCCAAGGAGGCCTTCACTCCTTCCTTCTGTCACCTTCTTCCCTCCCTCCCTTCCTGTTTCTCAGCCTGGGGAGAGGGCACTTGCTGGAGAATCCTCCTTCCAGGCCCTTCTTTGTGCCTTTTCTCCCCCCCCCCCAGGGCACTGGAATGAATGGACTGCTCTCAGAAGGCCAGCCTGTGCCAGGCAGTGGGCAGAGCTGGACACAGGGCCTTGGAGGCCTGGGTCCCCCCACCTCACTGGCAGGCTCGGTTCCAGCCCACATGGGCCCATCTGCTCAGGCCTGAGGGTTCCCAGTTGGCCCAGGACAGGGGCTGGGGACTCCTGTCTGATGTCTCTGTGTTCACTAACACCAGCAGTGGCACGTCCACACTGCCCATCCCCATGTCCCCCCACAAACCAGGCCACTGTGGTTGTGTGAACAGCCTTCATTGTGCAAGCGTGAGCCCCAACACCAGGTCTGCACTGGCCACAGAAAAAGTGTCCTCCCTGGAACAAGCCACCCTGGCCACTGGCCCCCAGCCCCACCCAAGGGCACAATGAAAGCCTTTGGGACGGGAAAGGGAAACGGAAGCAGGCAGCCACAGTGGGATTTTGGGAAGGCCTCCTGGGTGGTGGGGTGGGGTCCTGGCCCTCTAGGTGACTAGTAGGTGGGTGTGGCAGGACTTGCTCGCTCGGTTTGGGTGCAAAAATAATACTTGGTTGAGTAGTGTTGAAAGGCTGAAGTGTGTCCCCTGAGACTCCATCTGCATGGCCTGGTCCAGTGAGTCAGATGGACTTCCCCGGCTGTGGTCCCCCAGGTGGCAACATGCATGCAGCAGGGACATTTTGGAGCAGAGGCTCTCACAGGAGAGTCTGCCACCAGGACCTCTGTGGGAGGGATAGGGCAGGAGAGGCTAGCTGGAAGCTGCCATGACCTCATGGGCACAGGTTGGCGTGACTGCCAGGCATGGACCTGGGCCTGTCACAGGCTCTCTCCCCCAGGGTCTGCCTCTGCACAGAAAAAAAGGCAGGCCCCAGCCAAAGAGAGAAGGGATGCAGAGAGGAGGAGAAGGGGAGGGAAGAGAGAGGGCATGGGTAAACCAAGGTAGCAGTCCCAGGGAAGCCGGGAGGGGGCGGGCCCTGGGTGGGGTAGCCAGCAGCCCTCAGGCTGAGTTGAGGTCCACAGACTTGGGCTGGGCCTTGCGCGAGGTCAGCTCCGACAGCTTTTTCAGCCGCTTCTTTAGCTCCAGCGGGAACTTTTCGTAGCACCTCTTACACACGGGCTTCATGTCGAACTCCACAAACTTGTTCCTAGGGACAAAGCCCAGCGGTCCGTGGACCCCACACCCCACTGACTCTGATCTCAGACAGTGGCCACGGAGGTGGTGGAGTGGGCTTTCCTCAGCCCCAGCCCACACCTCCAGACCATGGAACAGGCCCCAGGCCAGAGATGGGTCTGAAGAGATGGGCCTCAAGGATACCCTTCTCTCCTAGAGGCTTCTCTGTAGCTCTGACCCAGAACCCTCTGTGGCTCCCCACTGCCCTCAGAACCTGGGCCCCATCTTTCCTGCCATGGCCCAGATACCCACTCCCCATCCCCACGAGGCTTCCTGGACAAGCCAGCTGTCTGCTCCATCGCCTTTGCACATGCTGTTCGCTGGGCCAGCATGCCCTTCCTTCCCCAGAGCCCGGATCCTTGCTGGTATACAGGAGGCTCAGGTATTTCTCCCCTCTCACTGTGCCCTGAGGTCCCTGGACCTGCCTCAGTCTCCTCATGCTATGCGAGGCCTGGGCTGCTCCAAGCCCCACTGCTCCACCAGGGTTCCACCAGGAACCTGCAGAAGCACCCCCCGCCCTGGCCCGTCACACACCTCACAGGGGAGGTGGCCAACTTACTTCAGGGTGAGCTTGCTGTTGCAGGTGGAGCAGGAGAAGCAGCTCACACACCAGGCCTTGTTGAGGGCTGACACCACTGTGGGGGCAGGTGCAGGGCTTAGCAGGCCCAGTTGTGCAGCTGCAGGAACACCTCCCCCTCCCGCCAGGGGAACAGGCAGGCAGGGGAAGGAGGGGCTTGGGGACACAGGGACCTCACCATCACCCTCGATCACGTGGCTGCAGTTGTAACAGACATCCCCAAAGAGCTGTGGACCGGGCAAGCTGTCAGTGTGCTGTAGGCAGTCATAGTCCAGCCCAGGGCCAGGATGCAGCCTGACCTCTCCCCACACACCCACTCTCAGGGGTCCCCCTGGGCCCTCTCAGGTGTCCCCCTGGTGCTGGAGTCAGGGCACCACCGACCCATGAGATTCATCCCCTGGGAAAGACATCAGGCTGAGGCATTGCTCCCTAAAAGACCCCTCTGCTCCCACTGGTGTCCTGCGAGGGAGTGGACCTGGCTGGTGACCCCATCCCATCAGCCTTCCTTGCCTTCTGCACCAGAGTGGCAGAGAGGGCAGCTGCCAGTACTGTCACCACCACATGCCCAGGACCTCATGATGCCTCATTCTGTCCTTGCAATAGGCCTTGGCATAAGGGTATGTTTTTCAAATAAAGACTCTGAGGCTGAGACAGCTGCCTAGGTATCAAGACCCCAAGCCAGGGCTAAGGGGATGGGCCTCAGCACCTGGTGGGAATCTCAAGGGTCTGTCCACAGCCTGCCCTGCTCCCCATAGCTCCCCCACCAGCCCTCCCTGAGGGCCCCGCCCAGCCCACCTGGTTGTAGTGGGTCTCGCAATAGGCCAGGCCCTTCTTCTCATAGTGTCGGTGCCCCAGGAACGGCTTCTCACACTTGGCGCAGACAAAGTGCTGGGAGGACAGAGGGTGGGCCATGTGGCATCAAGACTGGGTGGTGACCCCAGCGGACAGAAAGCAGAGGCCAGGCGGATGGTGGCTGCCCTAGAGTCAAGAGACCCTGCTCCTACTCTTATGTACCCATGGTGACATTGCAGGTCACCCTCCTCTCCCAGTCTGGTCTCCTCATTGGCAGCCTCAGCCCAAGGAGTCAGGTGCTGGAAGGTATCACAGTGTGGAGGGCCCTCTCAGGTGGGAGCCCTGCCTGTCATATGGCGCCTTCTGGGGGCCTCCCCCATGGGCCAGGGGGTCACTAGGAATCATCTTTTTGTCCTCCAGGACTCAGCAAGTGAGGATGCACATCCCCCCAGGGGGACAGGTCAGGCCTGCACCAGGGACCTTTTTTAAACAGGCTGCCCCAGGTATAGCTTTGGGACACAGGATAGCTGGCCACCAGGGAACACAAACTCCCTCTTCGAGTGTGTCTGTGAGAACATGAGTGCCCGCAGTCTGAGGGCAAGTTGCTGACTGGCACTCAGCTGTGCCCCCACCAGAACCCACATGCTCAGGTACCCAGGTCGCACACTTGAGGAGCCACCGCTCCGTGTCTACACAGGTTGCACACACAACTGCTTCTGTCAACTGCAGCCCCACAGGGTGCCCTGGGAGGACCATCCCCCAGGTCTCCTGACTTTAGAATCTCTTCGAATGCAAGGAGGAGGAAGAGGAAAGGCAAGTGGGGCTGCTCAGCGTGGCCTGTGGGCTCAGGTCTCCGGGTTCCCTGGCCAGAGGGAGGAAGGTCCTTGCTGGGAGCCTGGGCTAGGGGTGCAGAAAGGCTCTGACCATGACTGTGAACTGGCTATGTGTCCACCAGCTTGGCTCACCTCCACGTGCCACTGCTTGCCCAGAGCATTGACCACACGGCCCTCAATGGGCCGGCGGCAGGCCCCACAGATGGGGACGCCCATTTTGTCGTGGCAGGGCAGGCAGTAGAGCTCGCCCTTCAGCTCACGGGCCTCGGCAGTCAGCTCCTTCCTGGAAGACAGTGCGGAGACTCTGGGTGCCATCCCTGCCCTTCTGCAGGGTCCCTCCTGTCCCTCCAGTCCCGGTGCAGCTCCCTGAGAGGCCCCATTCTGTTCCGACAGAGCATGGAGCCGGCAGCTCTCTCTGATCTCTGGGCCCTTTGAAGACTTCCTGTGCCCCAGACAGGCCCTGGAGCACTGAAGTCCCCACAGGCCTGGCAGAAGGACGCCTGTGTTCTGCACCACCAGGCCTCTGAGAAGCAGGTCTGTTCTCAGGCCCCTCCTCCTCCCAAGCAGACTGGATGTCTGGGACACGCACAGAGGGGACCAGGAAATGCCAGTTTGACCCCACTCCGGGATCTGCTCTGCTGCCCCTCTGACTCTGTCCTTTACTCTGTCTCAACCACCAGCAGTCCAGGGGCCTTGGCCATCACCCTCCCTGAGTCTCAAGTGCTCCCCAGACAGCACCCTGGAGAGAGGTGCTTCCTGCCACAGCTGCTCCGCAGCTCCCATTCCACCTCTGCCCTTTACCCAGCACCCATCTCCAGACTTGCCTCTGCCCACCTTGCTCACCTCTCCCACCTCACCACAGCTCTGCCCCTGCTCTGGGGCAACCCTGACTCTCCACCTGCCCCTGTCGCAGGGCGGGCTGCACACCTACCCACAGTGGGTACAGCTGAAATGGTCGGGGTGGTAGGCATCGTTCCTGAACATGAGGGGCTGCTCATCAATGACCAGGTGGCACCGCTGACAGATGTACTTGCCCAGGCCCTTGGCCTTCTCACGGTTGTGGCATGGCCGGCACAGGTGCCTGTGGGAGGTGAGGGAAGGTGTTAGGGACAGAATTACAGAGGTCCCTAACCCGCTGCCCTCTGCCTGGGGCTTCAAAGGGGTTGAGCCCAGGGTTACAGAAAAGCACATGGCCCAGTCATGCCACCTGGAAGTCACAGGTGAGCCCTGGAAAAGGAGCCTGTGCTCAGAAAAGGACTAGAAGCTGAGATGCCAGCGGGCTATCTGCCGTCTTTACATGGTGTTTTCTTCCTTCCACTTCTTCCAAGCCTAGGACAGTGTGTGGAATACAGGAGGCACATAATTGACATTTGTTGGAAGTTTAGTTTTATTTGTCAAATGTCCCTAACATACACAAGTTACAGTGAATACTTCTGTGCCCAGCAGTGAATGCCAGGCTGCGGGGCCTGCTCACCCCCTTCCTTTGGGGCCCACCGGATGAAGAGGGGCCCAAACATGCACAGGCACTTTCTGTCTCCAAAGACAAGCACAGCTATGTCAGATGGAGGCCCCCAACCCAAGAACTGCCATGACAGAGTCTTTTGTGAAGACCTCAGTGTAATTTCTGATGCTGCTCCCTGTGCTGGGCAACAGCTGTGGTCTCAACAGAGAGAGAAATCAACATGGCTTCTGTTTCCTCGAGCCTCAAAGGTGATAGGAATTTAGACTTAGGATCCGTGAGCAAAAACACATAAAAGCCCCCAGTCAACATCCCTTGCTGCCGGTTCCCACCTGCTACCTGACTCTAGAACATACTGCCGGCCCATCTGGATTCCCCTCCCAGGTCCCCAAGCCACAGGGGAGCCTCCCACCCTGCACGGCCTCCACACAACCTGACACCCAGCATTAGTGCCTTTTAAAGCTGGTCAGGGAGCCTACCTAAGAGATTAAATCTCAGACTCTAGATTACGGTGGGCAAATCCCAGATGCCAGGGCAGCCAGCTCAGCATCCCTACCCCAGACTCTGTCCTGCATAGCTCCATGCTCTGCTTACCCTAGGGTGTCTGATCTTCCCAGCTGCTGTGCAGGGCAAGGGCCCAAGTAAGGTGCCCAGTAACCACTTGCTAAGCTGCTTACTGGAGCTCAACTGTGCCCCTACCAGAACCCACATGCTGAGCATCATCTGGCAATGACAATGTGGTCAGGTAGAGATGGGGAGCCCGGACTGCTTTTACCCCGCAGTGGGTGGCAAATGTGGCCTATGGCTGCATTCTTCATCCCCATGATCCCTGAAGTCCCCCCTCTCCTGACACCTGTGCTCCGCCCCCACCTGAGGCCACCTCCACAGTGGCAGCCCACCTCCCTGCTGGTCTCTGTCACAGACACAGCATTTGCTCCCCAAAACCCCACTCTCAGGTATGCTGACTCCTCCTTGGCATTAGGACAACATTCAATCCACATGGAATAATTTGTTTCAAAGCTATAGAAATTAGCTCGACTCCCCAAGACTACTACAGTGGTCAGTGCCTTGAGGCCACTGTCAGAAATTACCCAAATAACAGATGATCTGTGAGCCCAGAAATGCCCTGGTCAGGGCAGCCAGTTTCAAATAGCCACAATTCCAACCCTTATGAGCCAGTTCTTCCAGACGGCCACTGGCGGGGCACGATGAGAAGGGACCTGACTCTGGCCCAGATCCCTTCACATGCCTCTGGCTCCCAGGCAAGATGAACTGGGAAGCCTGTCTTTCTAGAAGGAACCCCAGATGGGAAACAGATTCTCAACAGACTTTGAACCCAGCATCAGATCGAAAGGCAACCTTCAGAATTTTTTCCAGGTAAAATTAAGATGGAACCTAAGAATTCTAGATTCAAAATGCAACAAAAAAACAAAAACAAGCAAACAGACACACACAAACAGCTTAAGTTCTGGAGTGACGCATACTTGGGTTCAAATCCTGGCTCTGTCTCTTTCTAGTATTTGCTATTGGGTTTCTTCATCTCTCTTAGCCTCGGTTTCCTCGTCTATAAAATGGGGCAATAGTCCCAGCCACACAGGGTCACGAGGCATGTGGCAAGTACTCCCTAAATGCTAGCCACATACAGTTTTCAATGTTTTAACTAAAACATTTTAAAGCTTTTCAAACTAAGAATGGTGATTTCATTCCCCGGGTTATTGGATCTATCATTTTGGACCTAGAAGGAGAAATGAGTTTTGTTCAGTCTCAGGAGTGACCTCTGGTGACAATCAAATGCACCCCTGCCTCAAGCTACCTGGGAAGGAGCCTTGGGGGCCAGTAGGCAGCGGGGCCTCTCCTCCACACTCTGTCCAGAGGCGGCGGCCACGCAGGCGAGGGCCAGGCCTGCGCTGAGCTGCATCCCCACAGAAGAGACAGCACCCCATTATGAGGCTCCCGCAGCTGTGCCCTGCTCCAGAGAAAGCCCGTGATTTATTCTGAATGCCCAAACGGGGCCTAATTATACGGGGCAGGACACAAGGCCCCTACAGCAAGTGTTCTGAAAGAGTCCCCTCTCCCTCGGCCCAAACAAGCCTGCTCAGCCTCCCACCCTCCCTCCCGCCCAGCGCAGGCTTGGGAGGGCTGGCATGTTGCCATGGCAGCCAGCCCCTCCCGGCCCCCCAGTAGTAGGAAGTCATCCCCTTCTGAAACGTCCTCTTGTGTCTGTCAGTTCCAGCTCAAGCCCCCAGCAGTCCCTCACCCACTTCGAGGCTCCAAAGGCAGTCACACACTCAGCCTCTGTGACGCTACAGGCTGGGGACACACTGGAATATTCACAGTCCGGGTGGCAGCAACGGCAGCCAGACAAGCAGCCCACCACACAAGGGACCCCTCAGGAATGAAGTGGCCTTTCAGGGCCAGAAGGGCTGCAGCCTCCCTTCCTCCCCTTAAATAGCCAGCCTCATACCCACAGCTGCTCGGAACCCACCACCAGCACCGCCACCTACGGGGCAGCTCTCCTGCCGCCCCTTCCTCCTGGACCTGGTGTGAGGTAAGGGATGGGTCGGATGGGGCAGGGAGCCAGGGACCAAGCAGAGGAAGCACAGCAGGGAGCCCTGCTGGGGTGGAGACAGGGGTTTCCTGTCCCTTTCATAATGGCATGACCTAAGTATTGGAGGCTGAGCACAGTCTGAACTCACAGCGACCCACAAAGCACTGTTTTTGTCCCTCTGTTGGGGGCTTGCAGAGGGCAAGGGGCTTGTCCATACCGCGACGTCAGCCGGAACCCAGCACCCCTCAACACTAACCATTGGGAACCTTGCCACAGCAGGAGTCAGATGAAGGAACTTGCCTGGGAGCAAGGGTCAGGACAGAGAGGGACAGGTGCCCAGTGCAGAGGAAACGGCCACACCTGGCCACGGTGTTGCCACCATGGGCTCTTCCCACAGCCACGCCTGCCCAGCATCCCCTCCATGGGGATGCTCTTCCCTATGCTGCCCAGGCCCACTGCACCCTATACCCTCCCCTGGGAATGCCTGCTCAGTGGTAGTCTGAGCAGTGAGCCTAGTGGGTCTAGACTGAGGGCTACATTTCTAAGGGACAATGGAGAGTGATGGGGCCTGTCTCAGACCACACTGCAAAAATCAGTATCAGAGCTCCTACAATGGAGAAAGACCAGCAAACCAGAAACAAACCAGAAAGCTTTTAAAATTAAGCCTCAGTCTCAGAGACAGAAAGGCACTGGCTACACTCAGCCGACAGGGCAGGCCGAGGGCAGCCCCAACCCACCAGGCCACCAGACAGGAGCAGAATGTCCAGCCACAAGATATGTGACCTTTGCAGTCCCACAGGGCCCTGATTCAGGTTAATGCTCTGCTATCTTGAAATACCTACTTTTTGGCTCGGCACCTGTGGCTCAAGTGGCTAAGGCGCCAGCCACATACACCTAAGGTGGTGGGTTCGAATCCAGCTCAGGCCCACCAAACAACGACAGCTGCAACCAAAAAATAGCCAGGCATTGTGGCGGGCACCTGTGGTCCTAACTACTTGGGAGGTGGAGGCAAGAGACTTGCTTGAGCCCAGGAGTTGGAGGTTGCTGTGAGCTGTGATGCCACAGCACTCTACCCAGGGGGACAGCTTAAGGCTCTGTCTCAAAAAAAATAAATAAATAAAAATAAAAGAAATACCTACTTTTTGAGCTAGGGGCTGCTTGCTAGAGGCCAAGCATAGGCTTTCCTTAAAGACATTCATTTCATACTGGACCTCCAAATTAGGCAGCATCCTGCAGCCAGGCCCCGACAGCTCCAGTGTGAGCACTGGGACCAAACCACACTCCCACCTCTGATCCCCGGGGCCCTGGCAACCCCTAAAGCCCCCAGAGGCAAGGCCATGGCCTGGGCTCTCCACGGCCTGACTCCCAGATCCAGGAGCACTGCCCCCTGGACAAGGGACCTCAGGCAAATTAGTACATGCAGAGCCTTGATTTTTCTGATCTGTACAATGAGGCTACTGATGCCTTCCTTTTAGGGCTGGAGCGAGCAAGCACAAGTAGGCCCATACCATGCCAGGTAGTGTGGGCAGTCATACCCGTGAGCTGCCCTCAAAAGGGCCAGGGGATAACTACACTGTGGGGCAGAGTCCAGGCCTGAGGGACATCTAGGGTGGAGGGCACTTACCTTGGCCCCTTCCCAGCCCTGTGACAGGAGCCTTACCCACTGGGCCCCATAGCCTCTGTCTTCCCTGGCCCCTGCCCATCTATTCTTGCTCACCCGTAATCAGGACACCTGCTTGCCCTCCCTTCCAGTCCCTCACTCCCTGATCTGTCCTTCCTCTCCCCCATGCACCTGTTCATCTGGTCTCCAGTCTCCTGTCCTCGCCCCCAGCACAGCCACAGCCACAGCCTCAGCACCTGTTCCCTCTCCTCCCTGCCCCTGCAGGTCCAGCCCCGTCGCAGGGCTGTTTCCCTCCCTCTCCACGTCCTCCTCAGAGGCCCCCATAGCCCATCCTTGGGGCTTCACTCAAGCCCATCTCCAGGCACTTGCCTGAGCTTGCCAAAGCCACTCACCCTACATTCTGCATCCTTCAGCTCTCCATGAACCCCACCCTGGTTTTAGCAGTCCTAAGTGTGTCACTGAGACTGTTCCAAGTCAGAGGGTTACAGTTCTGCACTTGACTACAACCCAAGAACAGATCCCATTCCTAGAACCAAAAGGAAAATAGTTCATCCTGAAATGCTCTGGAGCTGGGGCAATCTTTGTGGTCAAGGGAACGTCCCCAGACATTATAGGCAAGTGCCATCCTTCCCTTTGCTTGAGGACATCAACTGGCCAGGTGCTCAGGCCAGCCAGCCCTTACCTCTGCAGAGGAGGGGCACTAGCCCTGCTTACCACTGACGGGAGGTGCCAGGCCCTCCCACAACCTTCCCCAGACACCTCCATGCCTGGGTTTCTTCCATGCCAGACAATCCCCAACCTTTTCCTCCAGGGTCCGCTAGGCCAACACACAGTCATCATGCCTGCTATGCTCTGTACCACTGGCACCCACCCTAGGCATCCCTGCAGGAGGTGTTACCAGGGACATTAAGGGAGGAGGAAACTGAGGCTGGGAGAAGTACACAAAGAAACTTGCTGGCTGCTTGGTGCAGAGCCAGGCTTGCCCAAGAGAAGGACCCTGCTGGGGCTGCAGCCTGAGCCCCACCTGCCACTTCTGCCCTGTTGGCCTCTCTCCTCCTAACCTCTCTGCTGCCAGAACCCCCATTCCCAGGTCTGGTGGGTGAGGCAGGGTGTCTGGAACATTCCTTCTCCTTTCTATGTCTCTTGATTGATTAAAATCATAGCAGGAGTCAGGTTCTTTGTCTGCTAGGGACTCCAAGTTCACAACATAAACAGTCTGTCGCCCAGGCTGTGGGCTCTGCAAAGGGCCTTTAGGGGTGGGCAGGCCGGGTAGCCTCAGGGACCTCTCTGGGGCTGCAAATCTAAACTGGAAAACCCTGGCTGGTGTCCCTACCTCGCTGCCCCCCTGGAAAAGACCCCACCTTAACTACTCCAGGAGGAAAACACTCTCTGCTGGCTAGAGGACCAAGCACAGCTTTTCCTAAAGATAGGTCTCAGCTCGGCACCTGTGGCTCAAGTGGCTAAGGCGCCAGCCACATACACCTAAGGTGGCAGGTTCGAATCCAGCCTGGACCAGCCAAACAACAATGATGGCTACAACCAAAAAATAGCTGGGCGTTATGGCGGGCGCCTGTGATCCCAGCTACTTGGGAGGCTGGGGCAGAAGACTCGCTTGAGCCCAGGAGTTGGAGGTTGCTGTGAGCTGTGAAGCCACAGCACTCTACCCAGGGGGATAGCTTGAGGCTCTGTCTCAAAAAAAAAAAAAAAAAAGACAGGTCTCCACTGTCTCCATGACCCAAGGTCTCCATGACCCAAGTAGAGCTGGTGGACTGTGTCCAAAAAGCCCCCAAGGAGACCAAGGGGCTCTCAGTTGGGGTGGACAGAGCAGGCCTCTGACCTCCCAGGACATGGTTCTTTTGGCATTCCTGGGAGACCTTCCCATGAGTCAGGTGGTGTGGCAGAAGGCCCATAGGGGATGAGCAGAAAACAGCAACACATTGGTCACTGCACTCACGGGAAGTGCCTTGAGCTCAGGCAGGCAGGTCAAAAAGGGGTGAGCAGGGTTTACGCACCAAGGCCGAGGCTGAAGAACTGGCAGGCTCAGGAACACATCACCACCTACCATCAGGAGGGCACTTGGGGACCTAGTGTGCTATCTCCACCACTCAGCACACCTTGGGGCGGAGCAAAAAATCATGAGCCCTTCTCTCCACCCTCCCACCACCCAGAGCCTCCCACCCATGGGCCCTGAGGAAGTGACCTAAGGTGCAGTGTGGTGAGGAACTCCAGCCCAGGCCCTCGCCTACTTGGTAGGGATGCAGCTGCACCAGTGGGAAGCTCCAAGCCGGGCTTTTTTTCAACCTTTTGCTGAAGTTCCAAATGCCTTTGACACTGACCCTCCCAAATGGACAAAAAGGTGCCTCAGCAGTTCCAGAGCCCCTGAGCTAGGGGCGGGGGGCCTCTTACTTCTGGATGTCTGGAGAGCGTGAGGCTTCCAAACTTCCAGGCTCCCCATGACCCATGTGTTTGTTCCCTTCAGGCCTGTTCCCAGGCTCTGCCTCCGGCCAAAGCATGGATGGCCCCGAGGTGGCCTCCCCAGCTTTGATGGCCAACTCCTCCCTGATCACCACAGAGCAATGCGGCCAGGAGACGCCGCTGGAGAACATGCTGTTTGCCTCCTTCTATCTCCTGGATTTTATCCTGGCCTTTGTTGGCAATACCCTGGCCCTGTGGCTTTTCATCCAGGACCACAAGTCAGGCACCCCAGCCAACGTGTTCCTGATGCACCTGGCCGTGGCTGACCTGTCTTGTGTGCTGGTCCTGCCCACCCGCCTGGTCTACCACTTCTCTGGGAACCACTGGCCATTCGGGGAAATCCCGTGCCGGCTCACGGGCTTCCTCTTCTACCTCAACATGTACGCCAGCATCTACTTCCTCACCTGCATCAGTGCTGACCGCTTCCTGGCCATCGTGCACCCGGTCAAGTCCCTCAAGCTCCGCAGGCCCCTCTATGCCCACTTGGCCTGCGCCTTCCTGTGGGTGGTGGTAGCCGTGGCCATGGCCCCCCTGCTGGTGAGCCCACAGACCGTGCAGACCAACCACACAGTCGTCTGCCTACAGCTGTACCGGGAGAAGGCCTCCCACCACGCCCTGGTGTCACTGGCCGTGGCCTTCACCTTCCCCTTTGTCACCACGGTCACCTGCTATCTGCTCATCATCCGCAGCCTACGGCAGGGCCCCCGCGTGGAGAAGCGCCTCAAGAACAAGGCTGTACGCATGATCGCCATGGTGCTGGCCATCTTCCTGGTCTGCTTCGTGCCCTACCACGTGAACCGTTCCGTCTACGTGCTGCACTACCGCGGCAGTGGCACCTCCTGCTCCACACAGCGGGCCCTGGCCCTGGGAAACCGCATCACCTCCTGCCTCACCAGCCTCAACGGGGCCCTCGACCCCATCATGTACTTCTTTGTGGCCGAGAAGTTCCGTCATGCCCTGTGCAACTTGCTCTGCGGGAAAAGGCTCTCCGGCCCGCCCCCTAGCTTCGAAGGGAAGACCAATGAGAGCTCGCTGAGTGCCAGGTCTGAGCTGTGAGCCCCGGTACCGCCAGGCCAGCCACAGACAGTCTTGGAAGGATGGCTGCCCAGGCTGCACGCTGCCCAGACTGAAAAAGAGAAGTCCCTTCTCCCTGGCAAGAGGAGAGGTTCTCCTGTTTGTTCCACCTCCTGAGCAAACAGCCTGAAAACTGAGCAGGTCCCCACCCATCCCTCCATGGCCTGAACCCCTAGATTGCCCAGCTATGTTCGGTATTAACCCTCAAAAAAGGAGAACTAACAACAGGGATCAACTGGCCACACCCCTGCAGGGAGGGCCTTGGCTCACCACCTACTGTGGCTCCTAGACACTCAGTGACTTCACCCATGGTCAGGGCGGGGGAGCAGGCAGAGGAACAATTCTTGAACAATGACAGTCTTTCTTTCCCCACTAGGCTCCCAGCCTCCTTCCCACTCCAGAAACGCACAGCAGCAGAACTCAGCAGACAGACCCTGGAAGGCAGGCTGCAAACACGCAGGAGACCTGGGTCCCAGCAGAGGGGTGGAGAGGGCATCTGGATATTTCCCATGAAGCACAAGGTGCTTTGAGTTCCCTCTGTGGCACCGTTGCCAGATGACCCCTGACTGGGTTTACAGGACATGGACTAGAAATTACAGCCAAATGTACCAAAAGTACATTTCAGGGTGGGTCCTGGGTGACATCAGCAAGCATGGCCTCCCATGCACATCAGCACAGCTCTGGGTCCCCGGTCCCTCCTGCTGCAAACTCAGACACAGACCTGCGTGTGGCTGACAATCTCCAGAGCTCCGTGGCATGTAACCAGTCCCTCTCACATCCTGATCAAGAATGTGGTGTGGGGAGACAGTCACAGGGAGAGGACCGTGTGAGGGAAGCCAGGGTGTGGACCTGACTCCTACTGACCCAGACAACGGCCTCAGCCCCATTCCTTCCCTGCAGGACACTGCCAGCCTTGCCGGCCAAGCTTGAGCTGTTCCCCTTGTTAGCACATGCATCACCCCAACATGGGCGTCTCTGTACTTGTCTGTATGGATCATAACATAACTGCAACATTAGGACTATGACGGTTATCCTGCTTGGTCACTGCAAAGCCCCTCCCAGAACCTCTTCCTCTCTTTGACCTAACAATCCCAAGGCAGTGGCACAGGACGCAGTGGCAGAGGCGTCATGGGCTCTCTTGCTAGGGCTCTGCTGGCCCCAGGCGTGCCTGCCCCATGAAGACTGTGAACGTGGGGGCTTAGGATGCCAGGGCTCTCACTCCCTACACACTCCACCTGCCACACTGCCTGCCATATAGCAACACTTTGCTTTTGTGTCACCTTTTACTTTCCAATGCACGCTTGGCTCAGGAAGTCTCGAGACAGGACTCCCACCTGGCACACACAAGTCAGTGACCCCGATGATCAGCACAGCCCCTAGAGCTGCCCCTCAGCCCCTGCACTGCTCACCTGCTCCCATAGACCCCATTTGACAAGGGGCCACCTGCCTCTCTCTGGAATAGCACACGCACAGGCAGTGCTGGGAAGGAACTGAGCAGGAGGGAGGGCATGCCCACACAGCAGAGGGTGTGCCAGAGAACACACTCTGGGGTCTCTGGAGGACCCTGCTGCCTATCACTGACATGGGAGATACTGGGAGAGCTGACTTGGTCCTCAGTGGAGAACTTTGCAGCTCATTGTGGGATGCTGGTGAACGCCAAGGGAAGCTGGCACACGGGCAGCTGAGGACAGAAAGGCAGAAGTCTCAGGTTGTCCGGGCACACATGCCAATAGGCTTTGGACTCTGTCTGCAAGGGCAGCCAGGAGGGCTGAGCACAGAGCCCCAGACGTCCACATGGAGAGATGAAGGAGGAATGGGAGCTGGAAGAGGAGAGTGGGTTGGTGCAGCCACGAGGCTAGAGGAACCCCCAAGAACTCAGGGGCCCGAGTGCCAGAAGAGGGAGTGCTTCTACATCTTGGCAGCTGCACCAAGAGCTGCTGAGAGGTCGAGGAGAGGTCGGGGTCTCCAAGAAGACTGAGCAGGTGGTGGGAGCACAGGAAGGAGCTAGCAGGTGTGCTGGGAGGCCCAAGGTGTTGGGAGCCTCAGATCCGCAGCCCAGCCCTCTAGAAAGGGACAAAAAGTAGAGAGAAGGGGGCATTCCACAAACAGAGGAGGAGCTGCAGATGCCAGGGCAGGGTCCCCAGACCTTGTGCCCCAATGTGGGGGAGTGATGCCACCCACTGTGAGGAAGGAGACAGAGGGCAGTGGTGGGGGAGGGCCAACTCCCTGAGTGCCATGAAATCTGTGGCCCTGAATTCAGGCAACCTGGTTGAATGACTCCTTCCAGGACACTCGGCCTGGGGGTATAGGCAGGGGAGGTGGCCAGGACAAGTCAGCAGGTGGGGTGATTGGGGTGATTTCCAATGGTTCCCCCTGAGGCTGTCAACAGGGAGCACTTGAAGCCCAGGGGTCCTTACTGAGCAGCTCCAGTCCAGTCATCACCCATAAACTGGGGGCTGCACTGTCACCATGCGAGGAAGGAGTGGCCAGTTGGCAACCACATCAGTACAGGCAGTAGAGCCTGGAGTGTGCCTGGCCCTCCATAGGTGCCACCTGCACCGAGGGGCCCTCCTCCCTGCCCAGCTCACAGCTACCTCACCTGCCCGCGTTCTTCACAAAGCCCAGGTCAGCCAGCTCCACGTCGCACAGCTCACAGCGGAAGCAGCCTGGGTGCCAGTTGTTGTTCATGGCCTTGATGACACGGCCGATGATGAACTCACCTGGAAGAAGAGGAGTCCCTGCATCTGGGCAGGCGTGGGTGCCTCCCCCCTCGGCCCTCCAAGCACAATCCATAGCCTGCCCAGGGTGCCCCAAGTAGGGAGGTGGAGCCTGCAGGGGCCTGGAGGCAGATACGCTATGAGACTGTGTGGAGTGATCAGGGCAGAGTCTCCTGTACCCCACCTCCTGGGCAGTGCAGGGGTGTGTTGTTGGCGCCCTTACCACAGGATCCGCAGCACGGAGCAAACAGCATCTGGAAGTCGTGTTCGCAGTACTTCCGGCCTTCAAACTGCAAACAGGGCCACAGACAGACAAGTAAACCAGCCATCACCTCCACAAGCTGCCCTCACCCTCGCTGGATCAGGAGTTGGTGGCAGGGGACAGGTGCCCAGAGGAGGGCGTTTCAGGCTGAGGCTGGGGCAGGAGGTCCCAGGCCTGACCAGCACAGGGGACTGGCCCATTTGGGATAGTGGGGTATAAAGAGAGAGGTCAGCAAGGCCAGCTGGAAGAGAGCAGGCCAGGGCGGGGCTGGCAGTGGAAGCTGGGAGGGAGGGGCCGAAGTCTGAAGTATGTGTGCTATTTGGCCCCATTCCCCATGTCCCTCTGGGTGAGAAGTCCAGCTCCTTCAGAGGCCACACAGACCCAGGGAGGGAACAGAAGGAAGAGAGCACTGAGTGAGCCAAAGGAGGACAGAGAGCCCTGGGCCGGCAGGGGTCAGTATGCACACTGCTGGGCAGCCGCTGCTGGCAGCAAGGCCCCTGCACAGGCCCCCCGTGTGACCCGAGCCTGCCTCCACTGCCTTCTCCCTTAACTTTATTTTTTTTTTTAATTTGTTTTCTCCTATTCTCCACAATTAGAGTGACTTATTAGGCTGCAACTGGATGGAGCCTCCCTGGGGGCCTGCAGAGGCAGCAGAAGTTTAAACTCACTTAGCAGTCAGTATCTCCTGGGCATCGATTATGCACTAGCCTTGTTCTAGGCACATGGCATTCCTCCCAGAGCTCTGCCCACCCCTCTGCTGACTTCACAGTCACCCAGGAGGCTGGAGGTACCACCAGGAACTGCTTTTTCACCTCTTCAAGCAGATCATACACTCCACATCCAGCCAGCAGTCAAACCGGTCAGCTCTACCTCAAAGTATGCCTAGCATCTGACCCCTGGTCAGCACCGCCACTGCAGCCACCAGCGGTGTGCTGGTAAATGTTTAACAACTAGCTCTCTGTTGGGAAGGACACTGATGTGCAGTGTTGGCCATTTTCCACGTGTTTGCCACTGCCCACAATGGCCACTTTCAAGCTGCCAACACGCTGGCAACATGGACTGAGAGATGTGCTGCGGCTCCCACACCAGCACCACGGACAGAAGTAACCCCAGCGGCTTAGGTGATAGTAAAATGTAACACAGAGATTAGGAAATGGCATGTTAGGAGTATTTAGTATCTTTGTTTTTAATAAAATTTTATCTCACTGTATGTTTCTGTCACTTAATTTTTAATACCAGCTGTTTTTCACAGTCAGTTTGCAAGATTGTTAAAGATCTAAAGACCTGGGCAGCACCTGTGGCTCAAGGAGTAGGGTGCTGGCCCATATACCAGAGGTGGTGGGTCCAAACCTGGCCCTGGCCAAAAACTGCAAAAAAAAAAAAAAAAAAACCAGATCTAAAGACCTGTTCTTGTGAGCTGGTGGGGCCAGACTGGGCCCCTGCACTTGCCCCTGGGCAGCTGCAGCGATCAGCTCCCTGGCCCACCTGCTTTCCAGCCTCTGTCCCTCCTCCCTTACAGTCTCTCATCAGCACAGTGACCAGAGGAGTCCTACTCGAGTGGCAGATGGAGGGAGAAGCCTAAGGCCCCACAAAGGCCTTAGGGCCAGACGGGGCCAGACAAGACCCATCTCTATGCCCTCATCTCCCACCCTCTCCTTGTTTCCCAGATGTCCATCATGCCAGCCCCCTGCCACACCCCGAAAGTCCCCATGTGCTTCCACCGCAGGGCCTTGGCACTTGCTGCGACCCTTGCTGAGCACTCTTCCTGCAGAGATGTGCACGGTCCCCTCCCCTGGGGTCCACCCAAATATTACCTGCCCTAAGCACCCTCCCCCACCCTGAGCATCATCTGACAGCCTGAGTAGTTACTGTGTTTCCCACCTGATTCTAACAAAGGGCCCATTCGGCAACTGTCCAGAGCAGGGGGGAGGGTGACTCTCCTTTAGCACCCACAGAAACCAGGGGCACATTTCACAGGGGAGGCACAGGCCAGTGCAGGAGAGGGGAGCGTAGCTCTGTGCTGGCTTGAGGCCTGGCCCGGTCACTGGCTTGTCCCACCCACTCCTAGAAGGCAGACTCTGAGCTGAGCCTGCGATGGTACCCGGTGCCCCCGCCCTGGGAGCATGCTCACCTCGTAGAAGAGCCCCTCGGGGAATGGCCGGAAGCACTGGGCACACACGAAGCAGTGCTCGTGGTACAGCTCCCCACTGCTGTGGACGATGCGTTCCGCAGGGCTGAAGCGGGCCTGGCAGCGCTGGCACACGGCGTTGGCCAAGGCGTCGGACATGTTGCTGGAGAGAGGGGAGGAGGAAGACAGAGTCAGGACTGGGGGCAAGGGGAGCAACTTGGAGGGCCATGCTCAGTGGACATGCTCCCTCTTACAAAGTTAATGCCTACAATAGGATAAGAAAGATCGCTCTGGCTCAGCACCTGTGGCTCAAGTGGCTAAGGCGCCAGCCACATGCACCTAAGGTGGCAGGTTCGAATCCAGCCCGGGCCCGCCAAACAACAATGACGGCTGCAACCAAAAAATAGCCAGGCCTTGTGGCGGGTGCCTGTGGTCCCAGCTACTTGGGAGGTGGAGGCAAGAGACTCGCTTGAGCCCAAGAGCTGGAGGTTGCTGTGAGCTGTGACGCCACAGCACTCTACCCAGGGGGACAGCTTGAGGCTCTTTCTCAGAAAAAAAAAAGAAAAGAAAGGTCGCTCTGACGCAGTCCCCAGCTGGCTCAGTCTTTGTGGCACTCAGCCATCTCTTAGGGTGTCAGTGGTCACCTCAACTCCCACTCAGGCCTCCTAATGCCCCTTCCTCAGGGCACAAGTGCAGGTAAACGGCTCTGTATTCACGCCCTTGCTTAATCCCAGAGTAACTCTGTAGCCACGGTCATTATCACTGTTTTCCAGATGAGAGACTAAAGCCTTAGAGAGTTTAAGTCACCTGCCCAAGCTCACACAGCAGGTGGCAGAGCCCAGACTGGAGACCAGACTTGGGTGACCAGATTTTAACATCAGTAAGGTGGGTCAACTTGGGGGGGGGCCGGGGGGCCGGGCAGGGCCTGACAACAATGCAAATTTTGATAAGCAGTTCTCAATAATCACTTCTCAGCAATTTTTTGTTATTATTACAGTTTAACATTATAAAATTAACAAAAATAATATAAAACTCATATTCTGGCGAAATAGCCACATGGCAGCTGAAAACTGTATATTCCTTTCTTGTTCTCCTGCTTGTTCGTGCATTCTTTCCAAAAATTGGGACTTTTTTGAAACACCAAGGGACACGGGACAAATTGTTGAAAAGTAGGACTGTCCCGCCAAAAGCCAGACGTCTGGTCACCCTAGCCCAGACTGGTCAGACTTCAGTGGTAGTTTCGAATTGGATGTCCCCCAAATACATGTAACAACCCCAACCACAGAGAAGGCAAAAGTGTGGGTTTGTGGCATGGGGACAGGATGAGGGAGCAAATCTTTTCTTCCATGCTAGGCACCTGCCTGCCCCGGGGTGGTTGGTAGGCTTTCTTCTGGGAGGAGTGGGGTCCAAACTGAGCTTTAAGGAAAGCCACAGTCAGCCAGGTCCATGCTCAGTCCAGCCCAGGAGCCCTTTTGGACTCAGACACATGGTTAGGATGCAGCCCCAAACACCTGGACTGCTCTATGACCTCTGGAGACCCTGACACACATGTCTCTTGCTAAAAGAGCAGCACATAGGTTCTGTCACAAGCATCACCTCCAGTGACTTGGGGGTGGCTGCCTAGAAGGCAGGGCAGAGAGAGGTGGTTGGGTTCATGGAGCAGCAATGTAGCTGCCTGGGAATGCCTGCTCCAGGTGTAGCTGGAGGGTGGCACTCAAGCTCAGTACCTTTAAGAATATCTTCTCAGCCTGTCCTGCCTCCCGGGGACTGTTCCATCTGTCACTAGCCCACTGCTGCACCACTTAGAGCAGAATGTTCGAGCAGGTGAGGCTCTGGGAGGACCTGTAGGAGGACCAGCCCTGAGGGGGTCACCCATAGGGAACAGGGGTCCTTAGACAGGATAAGCCCAGGCGGCAGGGGAGAGGGCTGCCTCTCAGGGTTGGGGGTGCAGTGTGGGCAGTGGGTTCTATAGCAGCTATTGCCAGAGTGAAACAGACTGGAAACCAGGAAGGGCGCCTAGGGGACCCACAGCAAGCCTCGCCAGGCATCCTGGACTTCTGCATGCTTCAGCCTGCCCTCAGGTGCATTCTGGGGACCAAAGCCATGTCCTGTGTTCATATTTAGGCCAGAGAGGTGAGGAAGCAGGGATGGTGGCAATAGGAGTTAGGAAGAGACCAAGATGAAGGGGAGCCTCAGTGCCAAGGGCTGCTCCCCAGTCCTCCCCAGTGCCCTACTGGTCCCCACCAGGCAGGCCAGGCAGGCCATCAGCAACAGAGCACTGGCCACCCCCAGCTGCCCAGGAGGGCTGGGCCCGATTTCCCCAGGCCTGGTTTCCTTCCCAGAGAACACTGAGCCTTCTCTTCAGAGGCACACACCCAAGGTGGCAGGGAGGATGTTCCAACGCCTGTTCACAGGCCATGTGAGTCTTGGAGAGGTTAGAAATCAACAGGAAATCCTGTGATTCTGGGCCTGGAATTTCTTACTCTCAGGACCCAGAAAAATGAAGCCAAGTTAAGGATTTCAATCCAGCCCCAGACTTTCAACTTGTGTCTTGGACCCAGACCTCTGCACAGTAACCAAATGTGCACACAGCATGGCTCATCTTCTGTTTGCCCCTCTAGGCCTCCTCCTGACCCCTGCCCAGGGAAAGAACCCTTCGCCCTCTGGCTTCCAATTGGCCTGACTCAACTCCCAGTTGCTGCTGGACACTGGACGCGAGACCCTCCCTTCTATTTACTGTCACTTCCCATGTCACTGGCCCAGGTGCTGCATGACCCTCCGTCCCCTCCCACCTTCCTCCCTATTACACCTTCCTCCGTCACTCCATTTGACTGTTTCCCACCAGGCCCCCAACAGCAGCCTGGCCACAGCCCTTTCTTCTCCATCTTCTTGTCCATCTTCCAGTTGGCAGCCCAGCAGCCAGCCCCTAACCAGAGGGCTGGCCTCAAAACTGGTCTGTCTAGTTCCCTGGCTGGGTCTCTAGGGACCTTGGGTCAAGGATATTGCCACCTATTCCCACATGCCTTACATAAGCCCTGGCACAGGCTGGTGGGATGTGCGGGTGACCACCTACCTCCTGCACCCACTGGCAACCCCAGCCCAGGTCTCAGGAGAAGAGCCTCCAGTGGCAGCTCAGCAAGAGGCTCTCTGGCTGCAGCCCCCTAACACCCTGCTGGGAAATACAGAGAACATTCCAACCCCGTGCAAAGCTAGAGATGGGTGGCATCTGAAGGTGCCCAGACAGCTGAACCTCAGTACCATCCTAGGAGAAGCCAGCCCTCTCCTGCAGGGGAGGGACGGAGGCAGCAACCCCCCACAATGAGCAGTGACTCCGGACTTTCCACGCCAGCTCTAATCCTCACAGCCTGGGCTCCTCTAGCCTCCCTTCCTCTTCTGCAAAGAGGTGCACCAGAGTGACAGCAGCCACCCCACCACAAGGGGCAGAAGCTGGTCCAGCCTGGATAAAGAGAACTGTTGTTTCCTAGAGCTCTGGAGCCTTCTAAAGTCCCTCAAGCAAGGCCAGTTCAGGCTGCCTGGACTCTCTTCAAGAGGATGAAGGGTCAGAGACGCAGACATTCTACATTCTCCTTCCCTCCTTCACACATTCCACCAAGAACAGGGAGCACAAAGTCTGCCCAGCGACCCCCTAGGGGACATCACCACCCTGCCCCCAGCACAACACAGAACATACAGCCTAGGACACGCCCAATTGGGAGTTCAACCCCAGAGCCCAGGGCACACCGTCTCATGCCTGTTCCCCCAACCCTCCCCAGCACCAAAATGACTGCAATCTTGACAGCTGATATAAGCCACTTTGTTGCAAGGCGAGCTCACCAGTGATTGTTAGTCTGGGGTGGGGTCAAGGCAGCCATGTCTGTGCCAAGGTCCTGTAAGGGAGGTTGATGGTTCCAGATACAGAAACTAAAACACAGAGAGGGTCAGTAACCTGCTGAAGGTGACAAAGGATTGGACTCATGCTCCCATCTGTCCTCAGCATCTGTGGCATCCCACAAGCACAGCCATTCAAGACTCTCTGTTTCCTCAACAGCCCTACACCATCCTCTGTCCCAGCTTCCCACCCACCCAAGCCTAGGAAGACAACGTGAGGGCCCAGGAAGAGGCAGAGCCAGCCACAGGGGGTCTGTCACATGTGAGATGAGCCAGTGTTACTGAGGCCATGTCAATCTAGGCTGCAGATTAAGGGCATGTGCCCTGCAGCCAAGCAGACCAGCTCCCGGGCTGTGCCACCTGAAGCAGCGTGCTCTCTGCCCCATAGCGTCCTCATCTGTAAAACGGGCTGTGGGGAGGGTTAAGTGAGGGAGCACCTGCTTCCATCCTTCATCTGACACATCCTCACTGAACACCCACCTGTGCCAGGCACCATTGCAGTTGTAGGGGGCAGGGACCCCACTGCAAACTGGGCTTCCTCCTCTTCCTCTTCATGAGACCAGCCAGAAGCTGGTGTCAGGGGCACCTGGCTGCATAGTCAATAGGAATTTACACAAAGCCAGCCCCATGCCCTGCCACAGGAACGCTAGAAAATTAACGCACTGCTTTGGGCTGCTATACATACAACCCATTGACCCAAGCAGAAAACACATTCCAAATCCATACGAAACCACATTCCAAATCCATGTGAAAGCTGTCAGTAACAGCTTTTCCCCAGCCATACATCCTCTTGACTTCAGCAGCTTCATGTACTTTTAAGCAGGTACGCTACAAACGTGTCACACTGACGAGGGAGAATTGGGAAAGGTCATGAACCTGAAGCTCAAAGAACAGCAAAATCGAGCAGCGTATCAACACGCGTGCATACTCCAGGGGATCTCCCTGGGCCTGATTCTCCTCACCATGCCCGTGTCTCTCTTGCATTATGGCTGTGCTCTTGTGTTGCATTCATACTGTGAAAATTGTTCTGTCCAACAAGGCCCCTGGACTGTTGGTGCCTTAGCCACCCACAACCTGGTACTACTGTCATGTTCCAGATATCCAGAGTTGTCCCCCAGAGGCCTACAAGTGAGGGTGCCCGGTCCAGCACTGCCATGCTCAGGTTGTTTGGTCTCCTGAGCCTTGGGTTCCCCACCTGAATGATAGGCTCGTGCAGTTCCCGTCCTGATCTGGGCCAGGCCTCTGATGCCAGTGCAGGCAGGAGCCCAGCTGTGGCCACCTCCCCACCTGACACCCCCCCTTCCTCTGTTCTTAGCTGAAGACGCCTCTGATGGCTCAGTCCCTAATTCTCCTCTGGCAGCCTTCCCTGACCCAGGTACACAAAGAGCTCAGAGTGGGCAGTATTTTCACCAGCCCCTGCTTTCCTTGTCTCCTGGCCTCCAGTGCCTCTCCTGGCCTCCAGTGCCTCTTCCAGCCTCGTGTTCCACAGCTGCTCCTCCACACACTCACTCTTCCATGGACCAATCTGCCACTTTGATGTCAGCAACCCCAAGCCCACAGACCCACTGCTGCTCTCTCTTCCCAGTTTCTTTCTTTTCTTTTTTTTTTTTAGACGGAGTTTCACTTTGTCACCCTGGTTAGAGTTCCATGGTGTCATACCTCACAGCAGCCTCAAACTCTTGGGCTCAAATGATCCTCCTGCCTCAGCCTCCCAGGTAGCTGAGACTACAGGCACTCGCCACAATGCCTGGCTACTTTTAGAGATGGGGTCTTGCTGTTGCTCAGGCTGGTCTGGAACTCCTGAGCTTGAAAAATCCACCCACTTCAGTTTCCCAGAGTGCTAGAATTTCAGGGTGAGCCATAGCGTCACCCCTTCTTCCTAGTTTCTACTGGAAATATCTACCCAGATGGCTCCGAGAGTGCCACAAACTCTACATGTCCCTGAGCACTGCCCTCAGCCCCAACCTCCCCTCCCAGAAGTGACAGTACCAGCCAGGTTCCCTCCCAATTTCCTCTGAGATGCACCCTGCTATGCCCAGCCCTGCTGGCTCTGCCTCCCACTCCAAAAGGAGCCCGTCCACACTGGCGGTTCTCCATGGAATGAAGCAGGTCAAGCTTTGGAGTCAAGTCCAACCCAAGTTCAAATCACAGCTGAGCCATTTTTTTGGTTGGGTGATGTCCATCAGGTTCCTTGACCCCTTGGAACCCATCTGCTCATCTACAGAGCTCAACAAAATTACTCCAGGCCAACCCCAGAGATGGGCGCTACCGCGGCTCCCTAATCCGAACGCTCAACCCTTAGCGCCCCTGCCCAAGAAAGTTGATCACACATGATCCCAACCCCCCTAGATCAAGTCGCGCCTGCCTGTAGCCAAGCTAGGAGGTCCCCGCGCCCAGCAGCCGTCGGAAGGCCTAGGCGGGGTTTCAAGGGAAGGCCTGCGGCCGCAGCTTTCCGGCCATTGTCCCCGCGACCCGCCCCGACTCTCATCACCTACCCCAGCGCGGAGGGCGGCGGGCTCTGCCGGTGCTGGCGCCGCCGGTACAGCCCCGACGCGGCGAGAGCGCCCAGCCGGGCCGCCATGACTCGGGCCGCCGCAGCCTCTTGGTTGCGGTCGCGTCGCGGGCCGCCTGGCCGAGGGGCGTCAGACCACCCAGCCGGAGGGAAGACGCGACAGCGCGGCCACCTCCGGCCAGACGCCGCGACGGGACGGGCGCGCGGCGCCTCCCCCGCGCCTGTCAGGAGCTCACGTTACTCGCTGGGATCTCCAAAGGGCAGCGGAGTCAATTCCAAATAGAAAGGATATTGTTCGCGCCGCGGGGGCAGCTCAGTGAAAGCTGAGGCTGGCAGGACTAGGTCCGGCTGGGGAGGGGACTAGGCTGGAAGGTCCGCAGTGACAGGGCGGGATGGCACCTGCACAGGAGGAAACTCTAAGCCTCTATGCTGAGGAGGGCAGTCGGGGACTGGCCAGTTGAAAATCCTGTGAACAGTTAAGAAACTGATGGAGCCCACACGTGCCCACGTCCTGTCTTGTTCCCTTCCCCAAGAGCTTGCCACCTTAGGACACCCAGACCAGGGCAGCCCCTGTCCCCTGGGATCTGGACGACAAATAGCCAAGGGCCTACCAGGAAGAGCACCCACAGAGGGACCCAACGGAAGACACCAGGAAGGCAGCATTTCACATGCATTTTTTTTTTAACCCAGAGAGATTGGCAGTGTTCATGTGGTCCAAGTACAAACACCCAAGGTTGGCATCCAAACTGTGTCCACTGCCAGCCAAGCAGTCACTACGATCAGCAATAAAATAAGGATCCAAAAAACTCATGGAAATCTTTAACGCTAATTTTATTTCCCCAAAACACCTGTTCAGTAAGGTCAGAAAGCTTAAGCAGTATCTTCCGCCTTCCCAAAGAAAGAGACAGTAGATATCATTCCAGACAGCAGGCAGCTGGTCCTCCTGAACTGGGGTGGGAGGAAAACACGGAGGGGATCTGTTGGCACTCAGATGCCAGGCCCACACGGAGGAACACACACCACCCAGCAAATCTAAACAGGGGAGGTATTCACTGACCACCTCATAAGGATAGAGTACAACATAATGTGTAAATGCTGTCAGTTCCAAATTACTCAACACTGATCAATTCAACAAATATTTTTTAAAGATGGTCCCAGGGCCTAAAGGGCATACTGACCCTGGAGGAGCCACAGTGGGCAAAGAACATCTCCCACTCGGACGTAGCTGATTGCTTAAGAAAACTTATGCAGAAATTTTGGTTACAGCAGCTACAAGTCAATGCCCTAGGACTTCAGCCCCTCTCACCACCCCCACTCAGCCCCTCCCAGGTGGAAATCCTGGCTTTCAGCCAGAGCCACAGTTTTAGGTAAGGAGGGAACATTTATTTAGGGTTCCCAGGATCACACACAGACCTGGGAAGGAGGCATAGCCACCCAGGAATGTTTGGTACAACATAATTTGTAAATGAGATTTAAGTACAAGGTTACCAAGTACTAATCAATCCAACAAATATTTACTGTAAAAGTGGTCAGCAGAGCTGGAAATCGAAAGTGGCTTAGAGTCTGATTGAGCCCCAACCTCTGCACAGCCTTGCCACCCATTCTGCAGCCTGCTGCAAGACAGGGGTGAGGACCACGCCAGGCTTCCCAGCCAACATGCTGGTTCTAGAGGACATAGTTGTGGAAACACAGTAAAAATGATGTCAGCAAAAAACAATAGCATAAGGCCGCCAGAAGTTTGTTTCTCCATAAAAGCAATGAAAAAACTAACAGAAATAGTCAGAATCTTCTGTTTCAGAACTCTCCAGATTCACCAAAGGCTTGCAGTAATCCTGGGGAAAATACGTGAATCTTGGTAATAACAGTAAATTTAGTGGTATTTTAATTTATCTTAGTCCCTTATCACTCCTAACTCCATGGATGCCTTAAAAAATAATAGCCCACACTCTCATTAAGAAGGGAACAAAATAGAACATTATAAACAATTATGTACCAATAAATGAAATAACATAGCTGAAATGAAATTTCATAAAAACAAACCACTAAAACTGACTAAAGAAGAAATAGGAAATCCAAATAGACCAGGACAAGTAAAGAGGCTGAATTATTAATCAAAAAACTTTCCACAAAGACAAATTCAGAGCCACAAGGCTTCACTGGTGAATTCTACCAGATGTTCAAGTAGAATTGAAACCAATCCTTCACAGAATCTTCCCCCCAAAAAAGAAATAATGAATCAGGAGAAATACTTTCTAACTCATCCTATGAGGTCAGTATCACCCCAATATCCAAACCAGACACAGACATCACAAGAAAACTACAGATAATATTCTTTATGAACATAGATGCAAATATCCTCAACAAAATACTATAAGCAAATATAGTAGCCTATAAAAAATATTATACACCATGACCAAATAGAATTCATCCTAGCAATATAGGGTTGGTTTACCTTTCAAAATTCAATGTAATATACCATACACATAGAATACAGGGAAAACATTACAAGATCATCTTAATAGATGCAGAAAACACATCTGACAAAATCCAGCCCCTTTCATGACAAAAACACTCAATAAACTAGAAATAGGAGGGAACTTCTTCAGTCTGATAAAGGGCATCTACAAAAAACCCACAGCTAACATCATACTTAGTAGTGAGAAAATTTATACTTTACCCCTAAGGTGAAGAACAAGACAAGGATGTCTATCTTGTCACTTGTTTTCAAAATTGCACTGGAGATTCTGGCAAGGACAAAAAGAGAAAAAGAAATAAAAGACATCTAGATAGGAGAGGAAGACATAAAGCTGTATTTCTTTACATATCACATATAGAAACTTATAGAAAACTCTGGCTTGGCGCCTGTGGCTCAAGCGGCTAAAGCGCCAGCCACATACACCTGAGCTGGCGGGTTCGAATCCAGCCTGGGCCCGCCAAACAACGACGGCTGCAACCAAAAAATAGCCGGGTGTTGTGGCAGGCGCCTGTAGTCCCAGCTACTTGGGAGGCTGAGGCAAGAGAATCACTTGAGTGCAAGAGTTTGAGGTTGCTGTGAGCTATGATGCCATAGCATTCTACCGAGGATGACAAAGTGATACTCTGTCTCAATAAAAAAAAAAGAAAGAAATTAAAGAAGACCTAAATAAACAGAAAATTATGTGCATGGAGTGGAATATTTAATATTATTAAGATGGCAATACCACACTGCACCAAATTGACCTATAGTTACAATGAAATCCCTATCAAAATTCTTACAGCCTTTCTTTACAGAAATAGACAAGCTGATCCTAAAATTGATATGAAAATTCAAGAGACTGGCTCAGTGCCCATAGCTCAGTGAGTAGGGCTCCAGCCACGTATACTGAAGCTGGAGGGTTCAAGCCCAGCCCAGGCCTGATAAACAACAATGACAAGTGCAACCAAAAAATAGCTGGGCGTTGTAGCAGGCACCTGTAGTCCCAGCTACTTGGGAGGCTGAGGCAAGAGAATCACTTGAGTGCAAGAGTTTGAGGTTGCTGTGAGCTATGATGCCATAGCATTCTACCGAGGATGACAAAGTGATACTCTGTCTCAATAAAAAAAAAAGAAAGAAATTAAAGAAGACCTAAATAAACAGAAAATTATGTGCATGGAGTGGAATATTTAATATTATTAAGATGGCAATACCACACTGCACCAAATTGACCTATAGTTACAATGAAATCCCTATCAAAATTCTTACAGCCTTTCTTTACAGAAATAGACAAGCTGATCCTAAAATTGATATGAAAATTCAAGAGACTGGCTCAGTGCCCATAGCTCAGTGAGTAGGGCTCCAGCCACGTATACTGAAGCTGGAGGGTTCAAGCCCAGCCCAGGCCTGATAAACAACAATGACAAGTGCAACCAAAAAATAGCTGGGCGTTGTAGCAGGCACCTGTAGTCCCAGCTACTTGGGAGGCTGAGGCAAGAGAATCACTTAAGCCCAAGAGTTTGAGGTTGCTGTGAGCTGTGATGCCATAGCACCCTACCAAGGGCAACATAGTGAGACATTCTTCTGTCTCAAAGAAAAAAAAAATTCAAGTGACCCAGAATTCCTTAAACAACTGGCAAAGGAACAAAGTCTGAAGACTCCCAATTTCAAAACTTACTACAGAGTTACAATAATCAAAACAGTGTGGCATTAGCATAAGGATAGACATACAAATCAATAGAACAGGATTAGGACTACAAAAATAATCCTATACATCTGTAGTCAACTGATTTTTAACAGGAATTGCCAAGACCATTCAATAGTAAAAGAATAGACTTTACAACTCACATATCTAATAAGTATCTAGTATCCAAATAAATAAAGAACTCTTAAGAATTCAACAATAAAAAGACAGCCCAACTAAAAAATGGGCAAAAGATTTGAACAGCTTTTTCTCCAAAGAAGATATACAAATGGCCAACAGACACATAAAAATATGCTGAACGTTAATCATTAGGGAAAGAAAAATCAAAATCGCAATATGACCTTACTTTACCCTCCCTATGAGGTCAGTATCACCTTACAACAAGTGTTGGTAAGGATGCTGAAAATTGTAACCTTCATACATTCCAGTGGAATATACACCAGTAATAGAACATATACTAGGAATAAATATAAATGTGAAATTGTTCAATTATTTGGAAAACAATTTAGCAGTTCTTTAAAAGGTCTAATATAGAGTTACCACATGACCCAGCAATTCCACTCCTAGGTATATGCTCAAAAAAGGAGAAAATACATGTTTACACAAAACTTGGATATGAATGTTCATAGTGGCATTATTCATCATAGCCAAAAAGCAAAAGCAAACCAAGTGCAGTGGTGTTTACAACTAATCAATAACAGCCAGTTAAAGATTTCTTTGTTCCTACTCCATTCCCATTGCTTCACTTGACTAGCAAAAAATGACTAGCCAAAAAAGAGAAAAAAGGAATGAGTACTCACTCAGGATTCTCCATGGTGAACCTTGATGACATGCTAAACAAAAGAAGCCAGGCACAAAAGGCCATGTGGTGTGTGGTTCTATTTACATGAAACGTCCACAACAGGCAAATCTGAAGACCCAGAAAGGAGATGAGTGGTTCCAAGGGGGTGGGAGGAGCAGGCAATGGGGACTGACTGCAAATGGGTACAGGGTTTCTTTTAGGAATGATTAAAATGTTCTGGAATTAGTGGTTCCAGTTATATAATCTTCTGAATGTACTAAAAACCACTGAACTGTATACTCTAAAAACATGAATTTTATAATATATGAATTATTTCTCAAATTAAAAAACACACACACAGGCTCAGCCCCTGTAGCTCAGTGGTTAGGGCACCGGCCACATACACTGGGGCTGGTGGGTTTGAACCCAGGCGGGACCTGCTAAACAACAATGACAACTACAACAAACAAACAAAAAAATAGCCAGGTGTGGTGGCGGGCACCTGTAGTCCCAGCTACTTGGGAGGCTGAGGCAAAAGAATCGCTTAAGCCCAAGACTTTGAGGTTGCTGTGAGCTGTGATGCCATAGCACTCTACCAAGGGCAACATAGTGAAACTCTGTTTCAAAAAACAAAACAAAACACACACAC